GATTCACGAAGAAAGAAGAAATAACAGAGGAAGATGGGTAGATATGACTGTGTTCAACATAAACAATGATATTGTATGTAAACCAGAGGAAACAATAGTTTACGATTAGAGACAGTGTAAATAGTGAATAGCAGGGGACTGTGATCAGAAGCTTATGAAACAGCAACAGAGATGGGTTGTAAAAGTGAGAAAGCACTATAAAAAGAAGATATGTAAAGAGTTATGGGAGAAGTAGGAAGAGAATCATAAAAGAGCAGAATCATGAAGACCAAAGTTGTTTTTTTAATTTATTTTTTATATATCTTTATTTTTGTTGTGCATTTGTCAGATGGGCAGTGCCACAACAGCATCCACAGGCATGGCATTACAAAATGTTAAACAGGTGTATGGCTTTGAAACATTAGCACATTTTTATATTATAAAGTAAACAGGCTAGTCATATATGTGAGAAGTTGGTCATTCGTGTCCTAGCTGAAGAAATATTAGACTAAGCTGTAGAAATATTAGACTAAGTGGTAGAGCTCAGCTACAGGAATTTCGGCCAACTTTTGTTGGTAGAAGCCTTGCACATATGCGGCCTGCGTCGGGCCCAGTGTCCAGGGTTTGCCTGCCATTCCAGTGTGGACCGTGATAACCTCCACTGGTCCAGAGGGAGGGGGAAACAGGGCTCCAACAGGACTCAGCAATGGAATCAGCAGCTCCAGAGGGGGTGATCAGCTGCATTTCCTGCCTCCAGGGTCTGCCAGACCTCACAGGCCAAATCACAAGTTCCATGTTGTGGAAATCCAGGTAAGCACAATGATGGAGCAAGGGGTTCCCCCACGATGCAGGGAGAGGTAAGCAGCTGCTTGACTGTGAAGTTAAGCCTGGAAGCTGCAATTTAATCGGTATATTCAAGATTTGGTGAGGAGCCCAACTCATCTGCTCGGCCTAACTGCCAAGCCCTGCCCCCCTAGACCAAGGTTTTGAATATTCGGAAGGACTCAGTCATCCACAGAGGGAGTAGTGACCCTTGGATTTTTCCACAATTAAATCAATGGTTACTTTGGTCAAGTCTCAGTGATGACCTTGGAGTGGATGTAGAAAGCATAAGTAAGAAAAAAAAGGCAAATGTGAACAAGTATCATATTGTTTTCAGCCTGCACAACTATACAACTGTCTCGCAACTGTCTTATACCCAGACATGACAAAGACCCTCTGTGGGGACAAAACGTTCTCAGGTTTCTTTGGTGGCAAAACTATCCAGACTGGTGGATCATTTATTCACTACTACAAAACATTGTCTGAATGCCAACCAGGTGAGTGTCTGCCAGTTATATAATTTAGGCAAAAATCCCCACGCCTTCGTTGCCCTTTTCATTTATAAATATAATCATGCAGGTAATGCACTAATATACTTATATACAGAGCAGATACTGAAATATCCAATATTTATAGTCAAGGGTATTCAATTAATAGCATAAAAAAACAATACAATATAGTTTAGACAGTCTGTCTAGCTACTGTCTTATCTACCCAAATCTATGAACTTGGTCCCACAGGGTTGCGTTGCTTTCAGTTTTTAGATTTATTAAGCAGTGTGATAATTACTATTACTGGCATTTATAAAGCACTGAAAAATGCTGACTTTATAACTTTTGGATGGCCAAAAAGTTGATGCAGAACTCAAATAATCATGGGAGTTATAGTTCTTCAACAGCTGTGTATGCACCTTTTGAAATTGACCATCCTAGCTTTAAAAGTATGGTAGACCCAATGACCATCAAGAACTGTAGTAGGGCAGACTTGTTTCTCCTTGGATGACATTAGAATGTAGACACAAGTTACAAATTATGTATAAAAAAAAATGTATAACCTAAGGGCCTCTGCAAAAAAACAAAAAAAAACAATTCTAGCTTATTTTAGTTTAATTTGGAAAATTATGTTTATTGTAGTATGCATTCAGAGCTTTGCCATTTACTCCACTAAGCTCTCCTGGTTTTTCCTTTTAAGGAAACAGTGCGAATCACGATTGCTTTCCAATAGCCATTATACAATGACACATACGTCTCCAATGTTATAAAAGTAACAACACGCATACACGCCACACGTATCATCTTGAACAAAGTCACTAAAATGTGCACAAAGAGCTGTGTGCCTCTGGTATACTTCCTAGAAAGGCCAAGCCTTGGCAGTGTGTATTAAGACAGGGAATTAGGTTTTTAGAACATGATATGGTGATGGAAATTGGGCAGTGGGGTGGGAGAGACACCGCATGCCTCATTTGTCTGGAGATTTTGTCTGTTCTTTGTTCCCTTTTCCCTTCACAAAAAGTCTATATTAAGAACAGGAACAATCAACAACACATTTTCCATGGGGAGCCGTGAATAGAAAAATGAAATTGTAGATAATAAAAAAGCAAGATATACAGCACGTATATAATACATATTGAAATGATCAGAATTACACAGAAGTGAATAGGCCAACAGTGGTTAACCCTTGAAACTTCAGCTGTTGTCAATTATGCATTGCTGGCTGTGCGTCCGGGAAGATGTAGTTGCAATGTTTGGAGTGTCAAAGGTTACCAGCAGCAGCACAAGCTCAGCACCTGCTGGAGAGGTGCTGCATGCTGGTCCGGGAAATGAAAATTTAGGTGATGTACTGTGAAACCCCACCTAACAGGTAATAAATATATTTAACCATGACAGGTGCATTCTGTGCTGAGGTATATTGCCATTTTTCTCTTAAAATATTTTAGATTAAATCAAGATTTGATTGTGTCCCTGAAGTTATTCCGTAATTGCGGTGCTCTGTAGGAAAAGGAGGATCACACCACTTTGTTTTTGTATTGCGGTATGCTAAATATCGTGCTAGTACTGGATTAGAGGTTATATGAGGTGGGAACTGCTGGGGAGATTATTCTACTCAGGTAGGGTAGGAGCTTCCTAGAAATGCTCTTATGCCCAAGGCTGGAAAGAGGAAGAGTGCGTCGGTGTCATGGAGTAACACTTCCGGGTTCGGCACTCAGCTGGGAGGAGCCGGACCCTGCCCCCCTCTGACACAGCTCTGACGGTATTAAAGGAGACTGGACCAGAGAGAGGGTGCTTGGTGATTGTGTGTGAGCTAATGTGTGAGCTGCCTCCGCGAGACCGCGGGCTCCACAGGCTCAGCTACTGGGAGCTACTTCCACCAGACTTACCTCTCCTCAAGCTCAGATAAGCCGTTCCAGCCTTTGAGCCAATGCAAGGATTGCTGCATGCCATAAAGGATTCCTGGAGAACGGATACTTTGCTACTTTACAAGTGGACCATATCTCTGAACTATTGGAGGACTACACATATTAACCTTAAGTATATCTTTCAGCTATTTGTCTACAATATCATTTAATAATGAACTAATGCTTGCTTACTCAAATCTTCACTGCTTCAAACTACTAATTAAATGGAGATCAACTCCCATCATGCTTATTCACTATGAACTGTTCTTGCTCTGCAAATATTCTTAGCTACTTGCCTATTGTTTCTATTGAAGATTAGTGATGTCCCGAACGGTTCGCGAACGGTTCGCCACGGACTCATCGTTGAGTAAACTTTGACCCTGTACCTCACAGTCAGCAGACACATTCCAGCCAATCAGCAGCAGACCCTCCCTCCCAGACCCTCTCACCTCCTGGACAGCATCCATTTTACATTAATTGTGAAGCTGCATTCTTAGTGAGCTGTCCAGGAGGTGGGAGGGTCTGGGAGGGAGGGTCTGCTGCTGATTGGCTGGAATGTGTCTGCTGACTGTGAGGTACAGGGTCAAAGTTTACTCAATGATGAGTCTGCGGCGAAACGTTCGCGGCGAACCGTTCGGGACATCACTATTGAAGATTATTCTCATGAACTTAAAGAATGCTACTTAATGCATTTCTGAGGAAATACTTGAAAATTAACTTTGTGTTGTTGATTACTTGCACTTCTTCTTATTGGATTATTGCCTAAATGCAATTAATTTAAGTTTAACACTTATTAAAACTTCGGTTGAATCAAGTTACCAGTGAGTCTCTCTTTTCTTAAAGCTACAGTATTGATACTTTAAATATTCTCCATTTCTTCACAATTGTAATTAGGGAGTTTTACAAGCTGCAGTTGAGATCCAATTCACCCAAGTAGAGTAACAGTCGGTATTCCAGCCACAGCCAGTTTAGCTCTTTTAACATGTCACACTGGTGGGTAAAGTAATTACATTCTAGTACAAAGCGGCAGAATGAATTATACAGGTGATACTCAAAAAATTTGAATATCGTGCAAAAGTTCATTTATTTCAGTAATGCAACGTAAAAGGGGAAACTAATATATGAGATAGACGCATTACATGCAAAGCAAGATAGTTCAAGCCGTGATTTGTCATAAGTGCGATGATTATGGCTTACAGCTCATGAAAACCCCAAATCCCCAAATCAAAGTGACATGCAGTTTGGAGGAAGAGGCGATGGTCACACAGAGGCACCAGGACAGCATAAGAGGGAGCAGAGTGCAAAAGTGGAGCGGCCATCCCATAGCGCTCGTCAGCATGTATTAGCTCTAGAATTACCACAGTTATCCAAGTAACAGATGGAGCGATCAAAGGAACCATAACTGATTTAATGAGCCATTCGCAGTTTCACTGTAGCGGCTGTGCGAGCTTTTTGGCGTTCTTACCCTGCGCTGCAGAGTAACTTTGGCCTTCCCGCTCACTGCCTCTTATGCGACAGACCCACAAGGTGGAACTCCACCTTGCACATGCTGGAGAGACTGTGCGATCAGCAGCAGGCAATAGTGGAGTTTCAGCTGCAGCACGCACGAGTCAGTCGCTCTGCACCAGACTTGCCCTCCAATAGATCCTCGTTAAAGGATTTAAAGTGTACTCATTCCAATTACAGGGCCTCGAAAGAGTCCTGTATTGTTATTTATCGTCACTACCTCCCCGCGTCAGGAGTGGGTAATTTGCGTGCCTGCTGCCTTCCTTGGATGTGGTAGCCGTTTCTTAGGCTCCCTCTCCGGAATCGAACCCTGATTCCCCATTACCCGTGTTCACCATGGTAGGTGCAGAAAGTAACATCGAAAGTTGATAGGGCAGACATCCGAATGTGTCATCGCCGTCACGGAGATGTGCGATCGGCCCGAGGTTATCTAGAGTCACCAAAGTGCCTGCGCAACAACTGCTGAGTTGCCCACATTCTAACTTGTGCTGATTACTGGGTGGCCACCCTGCTGGATCCCTGTTACAAGGACAACGTGCCGTCCTTAATACCCTCACTGGAGCGTGATCGGAAGATGCGCGACTACAAGCGCACGCTGGGCATTCCCAACTGACACCGGGGGCTCAGTGGAAGCACAAGGCGAAGGCAGAGGAGGAGGAAGAGGTCGCCAACGCAGCTGGGGCACTGCCAGCACCTCACAAGGCAGGGTTAGCATGGCCAAAACGTTGAAAAGCTTTGTCAGCACGCCACAACAACCAGCAACACCAGCTGATATGGAACATCATAGCAGGAGGCAGCATTTCAGCAACATGGTGGAACAGTACGTGGGCACACGCCTACACGTACTGACTGATGGGTCAGCCCCATTCAACTTCTGGGTCTCCAAATTGGGCACATGGCCTGAGCTTGCCCTTTATGCCTTGGAGGTGCTGGCCTGCCCTGCAGCCAGTGTATTGTCTGGACGTGTGTTTATGATTATGGCTTACAGCTCATGAAAACCCCAAATCCACAATCTCAGTAAATTAGAATATTGTGAAAAGGTGCAATATTCTAGGCTCACAGTGTCCCACTCTAATCAGCTAAGTAAGCCATAACACCTGCAAAGGGTTTCTGAGCCTTTAAATGGTCTCTCAGTCTGGTTCAGTAGGAATCACAATCATGGGGAAGAATGCCGACCTGACAGTTGTGCAGAAAACCATCATTGACACCCTCCATAAGGAGGGAAAGCCTCAAAAGTAGAGTTGAGCGAACCTGAACTGTAAAGTTCAGGTTCGTAGCGAACATTACGGTTTTTGGACCCCGAACACAGACATTTCAGTGTATGTTTGGGTTGGAGTTCGGTGATTTAATGGCGCGATTTGAAGAGCTGCAGGGCAGCCAATCAACAAGCGTTTGACTCGTGTGCCCTTAGAAGCCATCACAGCCATGCCTACTAATGGCATGGCTGTGATTGGCCAGTGCAGCATGTGACCCAGCCTCTATATATAAACTGGAGTCGCGTAGCGCCGCACGTCACATGATGCTGCAGCTGTGAGGGACAGATTAGGAAAGAATTCTGGTGTTGAATCTGCAAACTACAGCAATTATTTTTGTGGGTGCTAAACTACATTTTTGTACCCTGCCCTGAGCCCAGTGCCACAGAGAGTGCAGTGCAACTGCATGTGTGCCAGGCACATTACATTAATCCTGGTCTGGTAGCTCAGTGGGCAACTTCTAGGCATTTTTAAATACTGCAATTTTTTTGGTGCTATATAGTACATTTGCGTACTGCATTTCTTGCAGTCCAATAAAACCCTTAAATACTACTGTTACATTGTTGGTTTAAAAAAAAAAAAAAAAAACTTTTTTTGTGCTAAATAGTACATTTGCGGCCTGCGGTGCACTTCAAATCTGAGAGTCAAATAAAACCGTCAAATACTGTGGTTACATCGAGTTTTAAAAATTCTCATTTTTTGGGTGCTAAATAGTACATTTGGTGTGTGCACTTCATATCTGGTGTCTGTGTGCAACACTGGCTAGTTACCGCTTCTCAAGAAAGTCTAAAGACAAATAAATGTTGCCTATGGTGCAGGTAGTATAGAAGGCAAGACTGAGACAAATCATTCGGGTTACGTTTGCCTGCTGACATGTTAATTATCTTAGACCATTAAAATTCAATAATTAATGAAAAACACACTAAGTGTCATACAAAAATATGTACTATAGACAAGTTAAAAACAAGACTACAAGTCATGCTATAACAAAATTAAACAAGTTTTAAAATATGTAGGGGCCAACCAGTGGCTGTAAAAACAAAGTTTTACTGGTTACATTCATGACTACACACTCTAGTGAACAGGACCGTCACGTAGTGTGTTCTTTTTTAAAAAAAAATCATACAGCATCCTTTCATGTGCTTTTCAGATGTCATATTGTTAATTGCCAATTTTTGTTCAGCCTGATTTTTTATTTTTTTTTTTTAAGTGAAAAATAAGTGTTATTGTGATCGCTTCATCTACAGAAGAATTAATATACATTTCTATATTGTGTAAAGACACAACTACAAAGTTAAATTTGAGATTATGTTGAAATATTTGAATAGGTTACTTGAGCAGGGTCACTCTTGTGCACCGGTGGAATGAGCGTTGTCTGCTCTTTCGTTCCTGTTTCGCTTTTTGGGATGGTGAGACATTACAAAAGAGTTTTGCTTGCAAAGGGTCTTGCATTGCTGGAGGAGTTGGAGGTGTCTGGATCAACGTTGGGCAATTTCTGTGGGTTTGCTGTGGCGGTTGATGGTGGCGTTGCCTAGCGTTTGCAGTTCCGATAGCCTGTTATTCCAGGTGGCATTCATCTTCTGTTTTTTCGGAGCTTTGCGGGTGGGGAAACTCATAGCGCCCAATCGCCGTTATTGTTATTGGATGTGCGTTGATCGGATAGTTTTGTGGACTTACATATTTGCAGGTCGAAGACGGATCAGACTGGTAGTGGCCTGTGGCTCCGGGTGGTTAATACTGATATAACGATGAAAATATGACGATGAAACACCTGAACAGGCAAAAACTCATGTTTTGTCCTGTTCAGGTGTTTCATCGTTAAATGGCTGTTAGGTTATGCTTACTCGTTTTCAGTTCACGTCGGTGCTTGGGAAAGCATTGGTGTCTTGTGGGCGAGATCCTATGGGCTTCTCTCCTCATTCCTTTAGAATTGGGGCTGCGACGCAAGCAAGCGTGTTGGGTTTTGCGGGTTCGGCTGTGCAGCGTTTAGGTAGATGGTCATCCAGGAGATATCAGCTGTACGACGGTCTCATTTGTTGTAATTTGTTTCAGGGTGTGCTCCCCATTATGTGTGGATATTAGGACATTTGTTTATCAATTGGGCAGCTCAATGGGCAAAGTCACAATGCTATGGACGGAACCTGGGGTTTCCAGTGGATTTAGCGAGGGTTCGCTGGAGGGGTATTTAGGGGTTGTCCTGGAAGCAAGTTTACTCGGATTTCATTAGCAGGTTCGTGTCAGGGGCTGTCACAATTCTTATCCATGTGGGGGGTAATAATTTAGGTAGGGTTAGGACCATGGATTTAGTGCACTCTGTCAAGCATGACCTGGAATGATGTCTGGCGTTGTTTTCTGAGTGTACTTTTATATGGTTCGAGATTGTTCCCCATCCATGCTGGCAAGCCTTGCCACATGCCAAGGGTTTGGACTGAGCAGACGCAAGTTCAACATCACCATTTCTAGGTTTGTGCGTCGACTTGGTGGTGTGTCGGTCTGACACGTGGAGCTGGAGGGGAACAATCGCAACTTAATGAGGGTGGACGGAGTGCACCTTAATCAAATTGGTTTAGATATTTTTATCTGTTTGGGGGTACAAGCAGGAATAGAACAGGCGTTGTCTGCGGGGGGAGCGATGCCATAAAATGGAAATGAGGGCCGGCATCGTGGTGGCGGAGTTTCTGGACAGCGCAAGTAATTCACAAGACATGGCTTTGGGGAGTCGCAGCCTGCTAGGGCTGATGGCAGGCTGTACGAACTCTGGAAATACACGGTTGGGTAGTCACCCCAACAGCTGACAGGTGGTGATAATGCTGGCGGTGTATAAAAGTTAAATCAATAAAGCTGTGATACTCATGTGTCATGTAATTATTGGGGGTAACGGGTAGGTTATCTGTCAGCAGTCATGTGACAGGGTGGGATGGTAGGTGTAGATGACTAAGCAGGTAAGGGTATGTCATCAGGAAGGTGGATGATGGGTAAGAAGTGACAAGGTAGGTTTGTTTGGCTATGGGTAGGTATGTAACTGAGTGAGTAAATGTGACCCACTTGATAAATATATGAAATTCAGTGGGTGAGGTAAATGTGATTAAGTGGCTGGCTCTCTGAGACTGCATACACATGGCAGGCTTATGGTATATATCAGATTGGGAGTGTGTGAAGGTTATTTTGACTAAATCAGGACAGATTTAGTCAAAATTTAGTCCCAACGCCAGTGTCCTGAGAATCGAGACACAGATTGAAAAGAGGTAAAGAGGGCGGCCAGCGATACAATGGGGGCGGGTCAGCCTGTCCATCACTCAGGCTGGCCCACTGAGGGCAATACATGTTTCCCTGCTCCCTGCAGGTTCCTAGTGCCATAAACATGCTGCGAGTGAGTCTTAGGATGAGCTTGTAGTGTTATTGCTGTGGACATTTTCTTGGTGTCCCCAAAAGCATGACAACAGGGAGCTAAGGTGGGACAGCAAGACAGGACCCAAATAGCGTGACTGTCCTGCCTAAATCAGAATGGATGGAAGGCATGTTAAAGCCAGTCAACGGTTAACAAGCAAATTGGGTGAGATGATGCAGGAGTTGCAGATCAAGGTGAGGCACCTTAGTGCATTGCACCCTGTGATCCCATCTTAGCTAGCTCACCCATGAGTCAGGGTTATTTACAAAGATTTAAACTGTCAGGACATTAAAGAAAATTCAAGTGAATTTTGATTTTTAGGGCAAAATAGCTAATTCTGAAAAATTCTCCAAGTCATCTCAGTTTTCGGTTTGACTATTTTGACCCAAAATGTTAACTACTCTTTGAATTCACCTTGTTTCCCGACAATCCACACTTCTAGGATATAACCTAGGAGGTGTTCTATGTTCCTTTGTAATCATGCAAATTTGTGATGGCTACCTGTCTACATGCAAATCCGCTCCGGTTAAAAATAGATATATATTTCTACTAGTCATTTCTCTGAGGATGGAGTGGATTTAGAAACCTGCTAGGAGATTAATGCTTTATGGCTGGAGATAATTATCCTATTTCTCCTCTCAGCAATGATTAGATACAGCTAACAAAGTCACTTCAGTTTTTCTATTTCTTCACTGTAATCTGAATACAGATTAATATCAGATGTGATATTATTTATAAACAAGTCAACATAAAATTCTTGGTGCAAGCAGGGACTTCATTAGGCCAGCAAAAAGCAGCTTTCAACCAGCACAAAATCCTTTCTTCATATTACTTATGGACTGACCCTGATCCTGTCCCCAATAAAAATACCTCACTGCCTTATAAAAACCAAACAAAAGATAAATATTGGCTAATTAAG